GTTAAGAGTATTTTCTAACTTTACTTTAAAAAACAATTTTTACAAATATTTACTTATTTTTTACAGTAAAATATTACAACCTTCTACAAAATCAGTTATCAGTGTAGCTATAGGATTGATTTGAATTTGCTTCCCAGGTAATTCAGTTCATTAAAAAAGAATGAGAAGCTAATAGGCAATAATATGATCAAATTACCAAAAGCTTCAAGGTGGTTCTATTTCAGTTCTCAGCCTGGTATGCATTTAAAAATATCTCCACTCAGAGTAGCTCCTGTTCATACTGCATTATGGGATCTTTTTAGGTAACAGCTTGGATGATAAAGGAGCCATTATCCTTTATATGGTGTATTTAACCCAAGTGAAATTGGAGACAGCCTGAAAACTAGCTGTAGTGATACACACCTCACTTCCTGTTCTGTTCAGCTTGATTTATGAGTGAGCCGTATGTCCAGCAGAGTTTGTAAGTCTTTATTGAAGAGCTGGGAATGTGGCTTAGCAGTAGGGTACTTGCCTAGTGTGACTGAATCTCTGGGTTCAACCCTGAATTTAAAGTTTAAAAAAGGAGAGAGAGGAGAAAGAAAGGAAAGAGAAAAAGAAAGGAAAGAATATGTTACAGATTTAGATTAGATTAGATTAGATTAGATTAGATTAAAGGCAGGCAGCTAGGCAGTTTCATGTACCCCAGAATTGGTTTACAGGAAATTGAACTGTGGTTTAATGGCTTCCATGCAGTTGGTCAATTTAGGTGGGAGATCTTTTTGTTGTTTTTTGCTTCTTTTTTTGAGGCAAGGGTTTGCCATGCAGTTCAGACTGACTTTGAACTCACTATGAAGCCCAGACTGGCTCATGGTGATCCCCCCACCTCAGCCTCCCAAGTGCACCACCATACCTGACATGAATGGGAGGTTATTTCCAGAGCAGATGTTATACAGCACCTAAGGTTCTGATGTAGTACACCATATATGTGTCTTGCCCAGCTCTTCTACCCCATTCCCGTTCTCTCATAATTATTTACAGGAGGTATTTTGTCTACCTGACATATAGCTTATGTTGTATTTAGAGCTCTGCCCTTTTACCTAATATTGTTAAAGAATTCCATAGCATAGTGTTGATTGTAACCATGTAAAAGAATGGCTGCACAAAATATTAAATTATACAGAATTTTTCATTTAAGTGTAGACTAGCTACGAACCATGAATGAGTAGTCTGTGACCAGAGAGGTCAGAATTTCTTAGTGAGTTTATGTTGCTGTCTCTTCACCAACATTGGCTTCTTTATGGGATTCATATAAAAATCCAGATGCAGAATCACATCTGTGTGGTCATCTTTCTGTGCGGATGATGCTAATAAATTACTATTGCAACTCCCAAAGAGAATTTCTACCTTGGCAGCATGTTTTCTGTAAGAAACTTAGCAAGTTGTCCTTTAACCAGCTTTCAGAGGTGTTGAGTGCAGTTGTGCTGATCTAAAAGAGCTTTTGAGACTATTTTGTCAGCGCTGTTGAATCCTCCTGCTATATTAATCATGAAACAAAGCAACGCCCTTTCTCTCGATACAGAACTTTCTAACTGAGGCTGCACATCACTTGTAGTCCTGCATTTGCTTCTACTCCTACAAATTCTGATTTAGTAGGTGTGAAATACCGCTGTATTTTTCTGAGTTTTCAATGTTTCTGATAGACACACTTCCACCAGAGTGCCACTGCCAGCTTGTACTTGAATTGGTACTGCACGTGTTCCATACAGCCAGGAGGCGCGTTCTTTTGCACTGGTTGTATGACTTTACAAAGAGGGACCTTGGAGGTGGTTGGAAAGAAATCTTGGCTGTCATTGCATTTGGATTTAAAAGGGAACTAAAAAAGGCTAACAACCTACGGAGAGAGACGCAAGATCTTGCAAGAGTCGGTAGCCCAAGAAAATGCTAGCTGCAACCAGGACTGAGTTGAGCTCTTCCACCCTACTGTCTTGAGTCTAGCATGTGCTTCTCGTAGAAGTGCTTCAAAGCCCGGGCTGGCCAAATAGCTCAGCGGATTAAAGCGCCTGCAAGCAGGTGCCGGGTTCAGGGGTTCAATCCTCAGGCTGCTGTGCTGGTCCTGCCCCCAGGGTGCACTGAGATGGCAACTGAGACTGGGCGTGGTAGGGTACTCCTGCAATCCCAGCTCTTGGGAGGCTGTAAACAGGCGGATCACTATGAGTCGGATCTAGTAGTGAGACCCTGAACACCCTGCAGACCCTTCCCTAGAATACAGAAAAAAAAAAAAAAAACCCGAAAAACACACATCCAAAGCCTCACAGTAACCTGGGTCTTGTGCACCTCAGAGCCGGGCACTGCCTTGTGAGGTCTTAGGATACTTAACATGAGTAACAATGCAGCGAGTATGAGCTCCTGATCCTTTGACATCCCTAGCAGGTTTTGTGAGTGACATCTTAGTTTAAAATTACAGACATTACTCAAAGTGCTTTTACAGGCTCTTAGTAAACATGGAAACTTCTGGCAAGAATTACCTTGATTTGTTACTAAAGATTGTCAAGAACAAGATCATTTGACTCGCTAACTGATCTTAAGTACTAGCAGGTAGTCTAGGAAATTATACCAATATTAGCATTTCTAAGCAGCCCTGACTGTTAGCAAGTACTTTAGAAAAAGGAGGTATATTTATTAATTTGGATTAGCTGTTTTGGCTAATTTAAAAAATCCAAATGACTGTGTCTTAGTCAAAGTAGAGATTGAGTTTTATTTTGGGTAAGAAAGATTCAGGAAGTCAGTCCAACATTGGCACAGTTACTCCACAGCCCTCAGCACCTGAAGTTCTTTTCCTCCATTGTTCTTAGCACTATATTATCACCTCGAGGTGTGCAGTGATTCTAGACGGCCTCTGCTCCTTCCCGAATTCATAACCTGCGTTTGCTAAGTGCCTATGAAAGACTTTTCTAGAACCATCCATCATTGATTTCTGCTGTCCTTTTGTTGCTTTTCACAACAATTGGATGTTTTGTCAGTAACATCTAGGGGATACTGGGCAGGCAACCAACAGTCTGCCCCAACTGGCTTTGGAGAACATACTTTCATTAAGGAAATAAAATTTTAGTGACATCAGACACTGTTAAATGGGACATAAATTTAAAAGCTCCCCAGATTGCATCTACTGCGTGCCTGATAAATAAAAACAATCAATTTCTAGGGTAGAATGCTCTGGACTGGATTTCTTAACAGAACTCATTGAATACAGCTGTTAGGTTTTCAAACTTCAAATAAACTGAAAAAGTGACCTCTTTAAAAAAAAAAAAAGTGGAGAAAAGACACTCCCAGATTTAATCTTTTTTTTCCTTTTGGAGGTACAATGAAAACAACCACAAAATTAGCAGAAGTATATTAGGTGATATAAGCCAGCAATGAACATATGGAAAATACTGAATGTATTTATATTTAAGCAGAAGATAGACCGATGTAGTACATGAGATAATTACCAGATTTGATCAAAATGCAGTTCACATTCAAAACTTAAAAAATAATTACAGTGAAAGACACATTGCCGTTCATCTCGCTTACAGAATCCCCTTCACGTGAACACACTTGTCCGTCGTACTTGCCACTTTCTCAAGCAATTGCGCAAGTCTCCTATCTAGTCTTTCTGTGCTGTTGTGGCTGCCTCTGTTGCCCGAATTTGTTCAGCATGTTTGCTTTTCAGGGCCATTTTGGCCTTGTAGAAGAGCCAGAAGTCACAAGGCACCAGAGGAGGGCCAGGCGCACAGCAGCGGCAGTGCCGTGCTTTTGTCGTCTCAGGCACTCACTGCATTTTGGGCGTATCTTGAGCGTACAGCACAGCACTGAAGTACATTAACGCCAGCTGTACATTAAGTCCTGCCCTGGGAAGGAGGTATTTGAGGGATATTACTGTGCCTATATTTCACCCATATAAATATGAAGAAAATGAAAAAAATGTGGAGAATTCTGTTGTCTAAAATATGTGGAAGCAAGGGCCAGGGAGATAGCTCTAGGATAAGCACTTGCCTGGCAAGCTCAAGGGCCTGACTGCAATCCCCGGTTCTGCAAAAGAAAAAAAAAAAATTTAAATGTGTGGAAGCAAATGGTAATTGACAGCATAGATACCTATAGGTCACGGTGTGTAGTGTGAGATGGAAATATTTCTGCTCTATAAGACAAGTGAATGTTTAAGTTTGTAGTTTCCTAAGCATCCACCGTTCTCGTTCAACACCCGTGTACTAAATGCCTCATGGGTATAATATACTTTGAGGAGAAAATTTGTGTACAAATTGCTGCTTGGTGAGAAAGTCTAGATCTTAGCTTCTTAATAACTAAATGTTGTATCTGAGAAAAACCTAGCCTTGCTTCATTTTTCATTTTTCTTCCTTTTCCTTTCATAATTACTTATCAGCAACCAAATGCAAACTGTTGACTTTTCTGTACCTGACAGAAAACAGAACACTGCAGAGATTCCCTGGGAGGAGGGAGCCGGTGGTGCTGGCTGTTGTGGGGCCGGCTTGCAGCCTCTGTGACCTCCCCATTCCTCTGAGCACTCCATGGGGCAGCACTTGGAAGCAGCTCCGTGTGACTTCAGCAAGCACAGGGAGTGCTCCTGAAACCAGCTGATGCCGCAGCATCTGTTCGCCTGCCCTCTGAGCCCAGCAAGCCACCCGTTGAACCTTTTATGCTATTGCACTTCCAGGCGTCCTCTGGGAAGGACAGCTTACAGTCTGATCCTGTAATGGATGAGGGTCTTACGTAGCAGCACGTACTGTTCACAGTCTGATGTGAAATAGCTGCTTATTTGGACATAGTGTGCAGGGACTTAGCCTTTCCCACCCATCATTTGTTCCCACTGAAGCTGTTATGCTGCTTAAGTTGTCTAGTAGGGCCTGTGAAAAGGAAATGGAACTCTCACAGCTTGCACTTCATTTACAGCTTATTCGTTGCTAATACTGCTGTCTCATAGGTGTCCATGTCTTCTGTCCCATTCCCTGTTTCCCCTCTGCTTTCAGCTGAAGGTCTCCCCCAGGTGTACTACTTTGGACCGTGTGGAAAGTACAGTGCCATGGTGCTGGAGCTGCTGGGCCCTAGCTTGGAGGACTTGTTTGACCTCTGTGATCGAACGTTTACTTTGAAGACGGTGTTAATGATAGCCATCCAGTTGGTAAGCTGGCGTTAGCATTGCAGAAGACATGCCGGTCTCCCTTTTATGCCCTTCGGGGCCTTTTGGTGACTTATTAGCCTTAGCAGCACCTAGTGAATTAGTTCTCACAGGCTCGCCAGCATTCCAGGAAGCTGGTTGGAGCAAAAGGGGTTAACTCAGAATTCACACTCACTCTGCAGTTTGCTCTATTTTAGGAGTTTGCACCTTGGAGCAATACCCTGACCTTAACTGAAATGAAAACACAGAATTTAGATTAGAAGAGGAGGATCAGGTGGAGTTGTACACATTCAAATAATTTCTTCTGTTTTATTTATAGGTTTTAAGCTGCTGTAAGCTGTTATGTTCTCCCTTTCCCTTCATATTGCATCTTAGAAAAGATTGAAGACACAGCCCACTGCTCTAACACTTTTTTCTTTCTTTTTTTTTTTTTTTTTGGAGGGCTTGAACTCAGCACAGGCTGGCTTCAAACTCACAAAGATCCTCCTGCTTCAGCATCTTGAATGCTGGGATTACAGGCGTGCACCACCATGCCCGGCTTCTTTCTGTCTTTTATTTAAAGTTGCTTAACGAAGAAATTGCCTTAGTCTTCCAGCATCGTGACCCTCAGAATCGCTGAGAGGCAGCTCCTGGGACTCCCACCAACGACCCACCAGTGTAGGTTTCTGGGGCAGTGGCCACAGGGCCTCTTGAGCGGCACTGAGTTGGGCTGGGGCAGGTTGTACATGCAGCTCACTCCAGGAAATTCCAGTGCCCAACTTGTCTTTGTATACTAAGTAGAGAAGCTTTGTAGACAGAAGTCATTAATGAAATTTGAAATAATGTTACGATTATGTGGAGATATATTTACTTTAACATAAAAAAAAACTAGTCCTGCCCCTGCTGACTAACTGTCTGATGTCAGGCCAATATTAACTTCTCCAGATCTTACTTTTCTTATGTGTACCCCAACAGAGGCTCGGTTGGGGAGCCTTGTCCAACTCGGGATAGGAAGATAGGATCAGGAAATGAACATCCTGTGGTACCTGACCCGGAAGCTGTCAGGTGTCTGGCATCCTCCCTGGTGACACTGTTCTGTCATGACCTTACTTCCTGAAGTAACATAAAAATAATTAATTTTGCAAATTCTGACACTATAAGGTAAAATTACTTATCTTAGCCAAACTGCACTATTGCACTGTTCCTAATCAGGTCACTAAAGTGGGTAGTAAAGATGAGATTCCTTTTTATTTTGATAGTTAAACCTAATTCTGAGCAGGATTCAGCTGATCTGTAACACCAGCTGCTGGAGGGCTGAGGCAGGAGGCTTACTGAATCCAAGGAGTTCAGGACCATGCTAAACAACATAACAAGAACTTGTCTCAAAAAGTAATACAAAGAAGTGAGGGTGTTGGTGCACGCCTGTAATTCCTAGCACTCGGAAGGCTGAAGCAGGAGAATCACTGGGAGTTTGAGACCAGCCTGACCTACAAAGTGAGCTCAAGGCAGTCTGAACTGCATAGCAAGACCTTGTCTCTAAACGGGACAAAACAAAACGAAAATCCTTATGATGTAATATGTTAATTTTTAAAATATACTTAAAGTATTCCCCACCCCTTTTTTTTTGTTGTTGTTGTTCTCTTCTAGCTGTCTCGAATGGAATATGTGCACTCAAAGAATCTCATTTACCGAGATGTCAAGCCAGAAAACTTCCTGATTGGCCGACAAGGCAATAAGAAAGAACATGTAATACACATAATAGACTTTGGACTGGCCAAGGAATACATTGATGCTGAAACCAAAAAACACATAGCGTATAAGGAGAACAAAAGTTTAACTGGAACTGCAAGATACATGTCTATCAACACGCATCTTGGCAGAGGTGTGTTTATTTTCTGCTCCATGAAAGGGGCAAGTTATTAGAATGACTTAATTCCAATAACACTTTATCCTATTGTGCTTTACAACTTGTACTTACTGCTTCCCAAGGTAAGTGATTTTTATACTTGGGAAATTAAAATGGTAAGTTAAAGATTGTCGGAAGTGCTGTATTGACCACTAATGACTTCTTACTTCTTTACACTATGTTTCTAGATGTTTATGCTCACATTTCTCAGTAGTATGAAAAGCTGAATTACTGCAGCAAAGGTCATAGCATTCTTCTGAGTTTGATAATGAATTTGTGTGTACGTACATTGAACTCCACAAACAGTAATCCTGTGAAGGATAACCAGCTGGTATCTGCTTAGAGAAGACAACTTCACTAAAGTGTGGCCTGGGCTTTAAAGGTTCACTGTGAAAAATTTCATGCACAGCCATACACGAAGAGCTTCCGTCTTCCACAAGGAAAATATATGTGCTTTACTCTGGGTCCTGTATTTTATTTGGGATAAACAATCTACACAGATATTACCAAAAGCTCTAATCAACAACAGATGCTGCTCCTTGTCAGAGAGCTCACTGGAGTGTTTGTGAGAAGGCCCGAGAACAGTGGGGAAGTCCTGGCTGGCCCCTCACTAGTGTTGCCAAGAAGCCTTCCCTTTTTATTTGTTTTATAAAGTGGGCTTCCAGGGAAGAATTGATTTAAAGAAAAGGCACTTAGGTGGTTAAAAAAAAAAAAAAAAAGAATAAGCATTCTTGAAAGCAAGTGAGGGGCTGGGAGATGGCTCAGTGGAATAAGCGCGTCCCTGGCAAACGCAAGGGCCTGAGTTCAGTCCCTGGTTCCGCAAAAAAAAAAAAGCAGGTGGGTGAGCAGAATATTAGCAGGCTATCTACTCCTTGACATGGCTAATTATATAAGGTCTTTAACGTATTCATGAAGTGTTGCACGCTAGTAAGTATTTTATTTATTCATTTAATTATTTTATTATTATTATTATTATTATTATTATTTTGGTGGAACTGGGGATTGAACTCAGGCCCTTGTGCTTGCCAGGCAAGTGCTTATTATACTGAGCCAGCTCCCCAGCCCTGCTAATAAGTGTTTTAAAGACTAGTGTAGGGGGCTGGTGAGATGGCTCAGTGGTCTAAAGCACCTACTTAGAACAAGCTTAGCAAAGCACAGGGACCGCGGTTCAATCCCCCAGCACCACATGCCTGCCAGCCCCGCCCCCTGGTGGGCTGAGCTGGCCACACACACACACACACACACACACACATAAATAAAATTAAAAAAAAAAAGACTAGTGTAATAGCTACTAAGTTGCTTCACTAAATAAACTACATGGGTATTCAGATGAGGATTGTAGCGATAGTGAAGAATGAAATAACACTGGAAAGTAGTAGGATCCAGTGTATGTTGAAATCATGAATGCTGTCAGGATTTCTTCATTAACTGCATGGAAATCCTCACTTTACCTATTAGGATGCTTTAAAGTTAGACAAGCAGATCCTTCCCTCTGTCAGTGTCATTTCAGGCAAGCTGCTAAATCTCCCTGAAACTTACCTGGAAAGTAAAGGCCATACTTCAGAGGGGTGCTTTGAGGTTTTATTGTGTTTAATTTATATTAAAACACCATGCCTGTCTGTAAGTCTTTTTTATATTGGCGTACTGAATACCCAAAACTGAGTAATTTATATGAAAAGATGTTAATTTAGCCATTGCTCCGAGGATCTTGTGATGGCGTCATGTGGCATGACCTTATACCAAAGCACTGAGGGGCGCATGTGAAAGAGAGGAAGCCACACAAGCCAGGCAAGTTACAACCTGGGGCAAGGCTAAGCCAGTGCCAGAGGTGAGATGTTGAGCCGCTGTGTAGGCTCTGCCTTGGCTATCAGATTCTCCCAGAATTTTGGCCATAGACAAACTACATCCAGCCCGTATGAGTACCTGACATAGGTCTTTTGGACACCCTGTAGAATGTCCCCCTCTTCCTTCATATGACATATGATCTTCCTTTGTACAAGGATAGACTATATCACATAGTAAAGTCATAGTTGTTAGGCTCAACTAACAGTCTAGAAGTTGCGCTAAGGCCTGCTTCCTAGACTCCACGGTTCATGTTCTTATTTTCTTATGTTGCTCAGGAAAGTCAAGAATTGACAAAGGATAGGGATCCAGTTGTTTTTTTTTTTTGTGTGTGTGTGTGTGTGTGTGTGTGTGTGTGTGGAACCGGGGATTGAACTCAGGCCACTGCACTTGCCAGGCAAGTGCTTATTCCACTGAGCCAGCTCCCTGGCCCAGGGATCCAGTTTTGTATGAGTACAGTGTAATGTTTAAGAAAAAGAGATACACTTTGGGCCTGATACCAGAGACCTGTAATCACACCACTTGGGAGGCTAAGGCAGGAGGTTCATACCTTGGAGCCCAACCTGGGCAATTTAGTGACTTAGTAAAACCTTGTCTCAAAACAAAAAATATGTTGCAGGTGTCTCTCAATGTGATCCCCAGTACCAGAAGGATGGGGTGGGGGTGTAGATCCCAGCCCTTTACTTAATAGCTGTGAGATCCTCAGTTATCTTGTCTATAAAATGGGGGTGATCATAGTTTTGTAACTTAGGGTTCTGTGGGATACTATAGAGTGTGTCTAGCACCTGAGAAACGTCTTACCATGTGCTAGTTATCTTTACCATTATGTATTCAACCGGATATATCTTAAGTATCTACTGTTTATCAGACTAGGCTCCATCACTTTTTTTTTTTTTTTTTTTTTTTTTTTTTTAAGCATCTCACAATGTACCCAGGCTGGTCTTGAACTCTTGGCAATCCTGCCTCAACTTCCTAGAGTACTGGGATTACAAGCCTGTGCCACCATGCCTGGCGTACCTCCTTCATCTTTTAGTAAACTGCCATTCTGCTGCCACTGTGTTTATGTCTAGGATTGTGTGTCCTGGATCCTGTAGCTCCTCAGGTCCAATCCAGCCTGTCACTGTTGGTTTTTTGTTTGTTTGTTTTTGTTTTTTTCTCTCCTCATTGCATAGCATACTTATAGATGGTGTCATTGCCATTTTAACTGTGTCCCAGGTATCAAACCAGAAAAGTTCCTATTGGAACTCTAGTGCTATGTGTGTGTTGGGGGAGTGGGGTACAGACAGACAGACAGACAGGGTTTCACTATGCAGCTCAGGCTGGCCTTGTAGTCCCCAGATTTTTTTTTTTAAATTTTTAATTTATTTATTTGTGTGTGTGTGTGTGTGTGTGTGGCCAGCTCAGCCCACCAGGGGGCGGGGCTGGCTGGCATGTGGTGCTGGGGGATTGAACTGTGGTCCCTGTGCTTTGTTAAGCTTGTTCTAGTAGGTGCTTTAGACCACTGAGCCATCTCACCAGCCCCATGTCCCCAGATTGGTCTCAAGCTCGCAGTGATCCTCCTGTCACAACTTCCCAAGTGCTGGGATTATAGACGTGGACCACCACACCTGCTTCTAGTGTTACTGGTTTTTAAGTGTGGTGTGTTCTGTACTCCAGAGAAAGGACAGTGGGGGGAAGGGGGAGAGACTGGGAAAGAAGGCCCTTAAGAAAGCAGAACAGAGGGAAAAGCCTCCTGGAGCCAACACCACACGACACAGGAGCCCCTTCCCACTTGGGCCATGACTGCAACAGCCAGTGTTAGTTAATGGTTGAAATTAGTGCCCACACGCTGGTTACATTGCCTTTCTTCCAACTGGAAGCCAGGAACATCTTTCTGATTGACCAGAAGGAAGCTTGTATAGTGTTGAAAAATTTTTCCATTGTTCTCTGGTACTGAAACATTTCTTTTTTAAAAATGAAGATATCCTCCATATATAAAGGTGTGTAGAAATAAAGAACAAGTATGGAGTGTTCAAAAGAATATAAAAATAAAACATGTTGGTTTTTGCTGTTGTTCTTGAGAAGTCTGAATGATTGAAGTTATCAGTTATTTAGAACTTTAGGCCTGGAAAATGATTTTTTTTTTTAACTTTTTAAAATGTATTTAGTACAGGGTCTCGCTACGTAGATTAGACTTGTAGTGATTCTCCTGTTTTCAGCCTCCCAAGTGCTGGGATTACAGGCTACTGCCACCATACCCAGTCTCAATCCAGGTCTCAGCGCACCACAAGGGCAGGGATGGCACGACATGCTGGGGATCGAACCCCTGCCGCTGCACTCTACCTAAACAGGCACTTCAGTCCACTAAGCTATCTGGCCGGTCCTGGAAAATGATTTTTCACATTATATAAATTGACCACTTTATTTTCAGATGAGGAAACTAAGGCCCCAAGCAGGTGGCTCGGCCTGGTTAGTTTTCACTGGATCCAGTGAATAGAAGGGACATGCCAGGACCTAGATCTCTGACCCAATTTAGGAGCCACTGTTTTTCCTGTTAACCGATATTCCATAGCTGTTCTTCCTGCTTCTGTGGCTTGAGACGTCACTTTATTGCTCATTCCAGTAAGTGTACAATTTTTTAGTCTCATTTTACAATGGGCTTAATAGTGGAGAGAATTTCCCTGCTGTGGGCCTGATGAGTACTGAAAATGTGGAGAGTTTTGCCCTCTAGTGCCCAACTCAAATTCAGCCATTTGGTGCTTTTGTTTTAGCCAAGGCGCCTCTCGTTACAGGAAGTGGGTGTAGAAGCGCAAGGATGAGTACTGTGGCCCAGCGTGAGGGACTTGAGTGGGCGGCCTTGCTGTGTGCCCAGGCCCGAACTTACCCTCCGTATTTTCTGGTTTTAGGGTGTTTTTATTTTTGTCCTTTGAGATATTGCTTAGCTATGCAGTTCAGGCTGGTCTTAAACTCACTTTGTAGCAGCTGGTGTTCAGCTCCCAGCAGTCCTCCTGCCTCAGCCTCCTGAGTGCTGGGATTACAGGCATGCACCACTGGGCCCAGCATATTTTCCATTTTTCATTTTGTGTCTTGTTATCAAATTGTTTTTTGGGGGGCCAGGGAGATGGCTCAGTAGAATAAGTGCTTGCCTGGCAAGTGCAAGGGTATGAGTTCAATCCCCGGTTCTGCAAAAAAAAAAAAAATTGTTTTTTGGTTTCAGTTGTATGTACATTTTATTGCTAACTTTAGATAAGCCATATAACCCAAAATGTCTGATCTTTCTGTTTTATTTCATTTTTTAAATTTTATGCAAGCCCAGTGTGGTGGTAAATATTTTTAAACATGTTTTATTTATTTTTTTATTTATGTATTTGGTACAAGGTCTCACTACGCAGCTTGGACTTGTAGTGATTGATCCTCCTGTTTTCAGCCTCCCTAGTGCTGGTATTACAGTCATGCACCACCGTTCTGTTGCTGGCTCAGCCTGCCCTGGGGGCGGGGCTGGCGTGGCACTCAGTACTGGGGATCGAACTCCAGTCCCTCTGCTTACCTAAGCAGGCACTTAGTTCGCTGAGCTATCTTGCCGGCCCTATGGTGCATATTTTTAATGTCATTATTCTGGGAACCTGAGACAGGAGAGTCTCAAGTTCAAGCCCAGACAGGGCAATTTAAAGACTTAGAAAGACCCTGCCTCAAAATTTAAAAATTAATTAATTTTTTAAAAGGCTGGGCATGTAGCTCGGTGGGAAGGACTTGGGTTCAATCTCTAGTTATTAAAAAAACATTATTTCAGTTGAGGAACAGCACTCAGTTTTAAGTTATTTATCTCTCTGTTGGGTGTCTCCTCTTTTTTTGTCTTTGAAGTACTGGATGTTGAATCCAGGGCCTTGCTACTCAGGCTTTTGACCATTGAGCTACCTCCCCAGCCAGAGTTGCCTCCTCTTTGTTTGTGACTGCTTTCCACAATCCTTCCAATTGCTATTTAAAAAGTTGCCTTTTGGGGATGGCGAGGTAGCTCAACAGACTAAGCACCTGCTTAAGTAAGCGCATGGACCAGGGTTCAATCCCCAGTCCCACATGCTGCACGGGCCCCACCCCCTGGCCGTGCTGAGCTACCTGTAATCCCAGTGCTGGGGAGGCTGAAAACAGGAGGATAACTGCAAGTCTGGTGTGTGTAGTGAGACCCTGTACCAAATATACAAATGAAAAAAAAAAAGTTGCCTTTTCTTTCTTCATCTAGTAGAATACTAACCCTGTGGAACACTGGTCATTCTTTCTCAAGCAATTTCCCACAGTTCTAGGCGGCAGGTAACCATGGTCTGCTTGTGTATCCTCAGGAAGCTGAGTGTCTGGCTTTTCCTGCCTATATGGCAGTCCTGGACTTCACTGTGCTACACACACAACAAGACATCCAGAGCTAGGGCTATGGCTCCGGCACACTGCTTGCTTGTATACACAAGGCCCTGCATTCAGTTCTCAGGACCTAAAAAAAGAAGCAACACACACACACACAGAGTCCAGGTAAAGGTAGCCTCTTAGTCTTGCTTCTGTAATTTTTTAAATAGAGTCCTATAATTCTGAAAAATAAAACAAACTTCTGTGATAAACCATAATTGGCCAGTTAGAGTCATATAACCAATATTCAGGTTGGCAGCCTAAGAGTGTGTGTGTGTGTGTGTGTGTGTGTGTGTGTGTGTGTTTTCTGAGTTAAAGTTGTGATTTTTAACTATTTTCTTTATTGAATAGTTCACCTTCCTAATTCAAAGGAAAGAGAACAGCAGCAACTTGTTTTAACTAAGCTCCCCACATGCCCACATTGTTTTATGCTCCCATAGATTACCTTATTAAGCAACTTCAAATTTTTCTGATGGGTGTTCTGATATAATATGTAGTGCAGATGGAATAGGAAGCAAGAGATCATGCGTTGAGACTTGTTTATATGCAGCTGAAGTCTACATGTTAGTTTTCATGCTGAGTGAGAAGTGCTGAGTGTGGACACCGGCATTCTGCAGCGTGCATTTTGCAGCCATGCCTGCGGTGGACTGTTAGCAGCTTCAGCTGCTTAGCCTGCTGCTCCCTTTCCCTGTGTTAACCCAAGAGTACTTGTACCCCGTATGGATGGCCTCACTTTCAGGCAGGTGGCGGCCTTGAATCAGGGGTGGTTACTAACTGTTCAGTGATTAGGACTCAGTTTTCATTTAGGACTTGTTCTTTTTACTTGCTAGCAAGAGGTACAAAGGAGGGGCTGGTGAGATGGCTCAGTGGTCTAAAGCACCTACTTAGAACAAGCTTAGCAAAGCACAGGGACCGCGGTTCAATCCCCCAGCACCACATGCCAGCCAGCCCCGCCCCCTGGTGGGCTGAGCTGGACACACACACACACGCACGCACGCACGCACACACTTAAATAAATAAAATTATAAAAAAGAGATACAAAGGAGCTACACATAGTGTTTTTAAATCAAAACCGAAAACCATTTTCTGGTGTAGATACACAAAGAATTAGTAAGCAGAACCTTTCTCCAGAGGAGAAAGGTTTCAGAAGGGATTACTCAATTTTGAACCTCTTTCTGCTTTCATAACTGCAAACATATTGTGTGATCTGTCTTCCCTTTTAGAGCAAAGCCGGCGAGATGATTTGGAAGCCCTGGGCCATATGTTCCTGTATTTCCTTCGAGGCAGCCTACCTTGGCAAGGACTCAAGGTATCCTTGAAAGTGCTTAGTGGACGGCTCTGTCCCAGTTCTTGGTTGTGAACGAGGGGCTGCTGGCGTGGATCTCCAGGATCACAGAGATGAAGCACAGGAATTAGTCCACGGTGTAAATGCTCGCCCGAGCTCTGGGAGCTGTGTTTTACTCACATTTGGCTTCTTCCTGCTTTTATTCCATCTCTCTTTGTGTTCGGATTTTCTGTAATCTTTCCCCTTATTCTTTCCGGCTTTGCAGGGCTGCCTTTTCTTGTTTGTACCCCTCCTCCCCTGCCATTATGTAGCAGAAGGAGTGTTCCCAGTGTCGGGGAATTTCTGGAACAAATTGATGATAGCAGCTGCTACACATTTTACGAGCAAGGCCAGCAGGATAGGCGTCTAAGAGGAACTGGAAAGTATTTGTTCATACAGCTTAAGCTAAGGATCTGCCAACACTACAGGTTTAAGCATACTACAGAATAAATACCTTGTGCTGTTCAAGTGTATTATAGAGTAAATGCGCTCTTCAGACAATACTAATTTCTTGCAGAACATGTAGAGTGCGAATAGTAGGCTGGTATCAACTCAGTGCCTACGTGTGAGAGGCCAGTATCGGAAGTATTATGATGGCTCCACCTCTGGCTGTTGCGCTAGGAAATAGGAGCTGCTTACCCACCTTAGGTCCCTTTAGCTAATTACATAGGGAAGGCAGGAGGATCACTACGAGTTTAAGACCAGCCTGGACTACATAGCAAGACCCTGTCTCAAAAAACCAAAGAGAGATTTTTTTAATGTGAGAAAAAAAATGTAATCCCTAGCTTGAGGTTCTTCTATTCGCCTTCCTCCAGAAGGGCAGAATTACTCATTTTGTTGTGCTTTCTAGGACATTGTCCTAGAAAATCGGGCTTCTGAACTCACTCTCTTTGAAGTTCTTTCTTTGCCCTTACATTTTTCTCCTGACGGCTCATGATGGTTTTCTCTCAATCATGTGTATCTTCTCATTGCTGTAGAGAGCTTTCGGAAGAGGTAGATCCTACGTGTGTGTCGTCCAGCCAGGCAGGACCTTAGTGTACAGCCTGATTGGTTCCTTGACGCTCTCTCGTGGCCCCGGAATCATTGTAGTGGTACCCTTAAATCTAGTATCAGTCCGTCTCACATCAGGTCACTGCTGCTTAAATCTGGGTGAAGCAGGCCCTGGGTGCCACGCGTACTGGGACACACCTGTAATCCCAGCTACTTGGAAGGCTGAAGCAGGAGGATTGCATGTTTGAGACCAAGCTGGTCTCAGATTGAAAATTAAAGGGGACCAGAGATGTAGCTCATTACTCCCTACCATGCAAATGGCCTTGCGTTCAGTCCCCAGTAACACACACAGACACACACACACACACACACACACACACACACACACACAGTTCAGGAGCCTTCTGTGTAGAGTCCTGGCCATGTCAGCCTCTAAGAAACTGGCACACTGAACCTGGAAGCCCGGCCTGTGCCGTAGATGTTTCTCCCTCTGGAAACACATTACTGAGAGAGATTTCTTTCACTTGTTGACCTTCCTTATATATGTCGCAGAACTGTTTCTTCCACTTGTGTTAGGCAGTACTTCGAATCATATCTTAGAACTGATCCACAAGGGTGAAGGCTGAGCCCCTGTGAGCTCCAGTGGCCATGAGAGGTCACTGAGCTTCTGCAATATTAAAAATATTGGTGTATAATATTTTTATCTTCTTCTTCCTGCTGCTCATGTCATATTTAATGTCTTTACCTGAGACTTTTTTTTCCAAGTAAGTGTATTTGCCAGTAAAACTTCCCAGAGTCCCCCAACTCTTCATACATATCTCATATATGTATTTCCTGTTAGTGTCAGGGAAAAAAACTGAAAATGGAGCAACAAATCCTGATAACCACTGTAAGCCATTGTATCGGCTACTTACCAAGTCACCTGCAGCTCTTTCCACATAACTTTCTTTCTGTCCTACAGGCGGATACATTGAAAGAGAGATATCAAAAAATTGGGGACACCAAAAGGAATACTCCCATCGAAACTCTCTGTGAGAACTTTCCAGGTAGGGTACCAGGAGGATATTCAGCCAAAGGAACTAAAATGTTGAAGTAGGTAGAATCCATGACTTAGTATCTCTTGAAAAGATACTTTCCATATAATTTACATTTCTTTTTATTATTCAGGCTAGTATAGGTTTATTACTTTTCTTTTTCTTTCTTTTTTTTTTTTTTTTTTCCCTTCGGTACCGGGGATTGAAGTCAGGCCCTTGTACTTGCCAGGCAAATGCAAGTACTCTACTGAGCTATCTCCCCAGCCCCTATTGCTTTTCTTTGGTCCATAAAATAGTAGTGTCATGTATTCTGTGCAGATAGCACTGTGTGCTCCATAGCTTAGGTCCCCCGGAAACACTCAGCTACCAAGCGTGGCCTTTCATCTCTTTCCCAACAGAGGAGATGGCAACCTACCTTCGATATGTCAGACGGTTAGATTTCTTTGAGAAACCAGATTATGAGTACTTACGGACGCTCTTCACAGACCTCTTTAAAAAGAAAGGCTACACCTTTGACTATGCCTACGACTGGGTTGGGAGGCCCATTGTAAGTAGCCTCTTTTTTACCACCTCATCTCCTTTCTCAGACCAGCACTGACCTACCCTTTGCGTCTCATTCTTTCTTCTTACATCTTTGGGAATAAATTTCTTTGATTGTAGAATTGGATAATACCATGCACTGCTTTCACTGGAATTTAGAAGTAGAAGTTACACATTTTTAAGGTTATAACTACTATATCTTGAGATACTGTACTATAATTTAGACCAGTTTTTTAGAAGTCTCACTGGAATGATTTAAAATCTAGTGCTGTGTATCTGTTAAAATACTTAAGGGCCAATGAGA